CTTTCTCCCAGCATGCTCCGCGCTCCTCCCTTCCCCTTCCAAGCTGCGTCAGTTTCCTTGACAGTAACTCCCTCGCCCCGCCCCCTTTGTCCTATTTTAAACAGCAGGGGGCGTGGCCACTCCAACCGCCACTGGCGACGGTTAAAAAACCGAAACCACCTCCTCTTCCTCCTCCCACCTGGGCGTGGCCTTGAGGAGCCGTACCCAATCAGCGACGGAGTTGCTCTTCTTTCTCTTCCAGGCCACACCCACCTGCACGCGCCTTCGGGTTTGTTTGCTTTTTTTGCCGGCTGCTTGAAACTGGCCACGCCCCCTTTTGAGTCTACTAGTTGGCCTGAGGGAGAGAGGGCAGAAATATCCATATTCATATACATAAAATACAAATAAAATAAATCAAAATAGAAACATAATATACACAAATCAATGAAATACATATGAATTACAATTGTGTGTATGTAAATCTATATATATTTTAAAATGCTCTGTGCATAATGAGTACCTTAAAAACAAAAGAACCAATGAACGAAATCACACCACATTTGGCAACAAAACGTCTCACAACACAAGGAGTGACCATCACTCTAAAAAATTATGATTTTGTCATTTGGGAGTTGTAGTTGCTGGGATTTATAGTTCACCTACAATCAAAGAGCATTCTGAACTCCACCAACGATGGAATTGAACCAAACCTGGCACACAGAACTCCCATGACCAACAGAAAATACTGAGGGTTTGGTGGGCATTGACCATTGCACAAGTTGATCTCTGTGTCTATGCCAGAGTTTTTAAGGTTGGGTTGTTGTAGGTTTTTCCGGGCTATATGGCCATGTTCTAGAGGCATTAGTGCAACTGCTTTGGGAGACAGTGGTCAGGCATCCGGACAACGTGGAAGTTCTTCCTCATGTTCAGCTGGAATCTGAATCCTGTCATTTGAATCCATGTAGTCCTAGGCTTTTTTTTTTTTTTTTGGTCGTGTCAGGAGCATCCTGTTGTGAGAGAATTGGCCGTCTGCAAGGACGTTGCCCAGGGGACGCCGGATGATTTTTGATATTTTATCATCCTTGTGGGAGGCTTCTCTCATGTCCCTGCATGAGGAGCTGGAGCTGATAGAGGGAGCTCATCCGCCTCTCCCGGATTCGAACCTGCGACCTGTCGGTCTTCAGTCCTGCCGGCACAGGGTTTAACCCACTGCGCCACCGGGGGCTCCTAATACTAAATAGCATTACAAAATACATAACTTGGGCAAATGCTGGGTACCTAAGCCAGTATTTATCCATGGCTCTCACGTCTCCTCTTAACCTTCTCTCTGCAGGGTAAACAGACCCAATTCTTTAAGATGCTCCTCATAGGGATTCATGGTTTTTGATCATTTTAGTTACTTTCCTCTGGACACCTTCCAATTTTTTTAATTTAATGCATTGTCAAGGCTTTCAGAGCTGGAATCACTGTATTTCACCATATTTATTTGAGCCCCCGGTGGCGCAGTGGGTTAAAC